TGCACACCATTCACAAGCATCAAGTCCTCCATCCTTCACCATGCCCAAGTCAATCAGAATTTCAAGCAATTCTTTGGGAGACGAGGTCAAAATCCCGTCCAAAGAGAATCGCTGGGTCAACGACGATCTGCTCAAAGTTGCTTGTCTGCCTCGTTTTCGCTGCGGACTTTCCTGGCGAGGATCAGTGTAGGGACGTCGTGGAACTTCATTCTTGGACTCAAACATGTCTTGCAAGGCTGCAGCAGCAGGTCTCTTCATGGGTCTTGCTCTGGAGGAGGAAGCTGGCTCCGTCCGATCATCTTCCTCATTCCGAGCTCCAGGTTGCCGTGACTTCGGAATTCTGGATCTAGTTCTGCGATCACGACCTGCTGGACCCATCTGAACTTGCCCTCCAGCTTCCCAACGAGCAGCCATTGCTGTCGCCGCTGTTCGCGCCATTGCAGTTTTAAAAAGTTTGATCCAAGAAAAAAACTGCAGACCAATGACTGTTGGATTTGTTCATTGCTGGCTTTTGTCAACCGTTTTTGGCTCCAAGTGGTTCTTGTCTCTCGAATTGGTGTGTGTGATGGGACCATCGCAACCTTCCAACTTGGAACCAGTAATTTGGCTTGCCACAAGCTGGTGTAGACTAAGCCGTCTAGATTGAGCTGACAGAGCGCAGAGACGTGTTTCTGTCAGACCAATACTTGAGGTCTGCTGTCTGTGCATTTTTTTTGCGTGACATCTTGGTTGTGCGAAGCCGTTTCCAGACAATTTTTTCCGTGATGGTTTGTATTTTTTTTTTGTGGCTTTGCTTTTTTTTTGGATTTGTTGATTTCTTTTGTCGGTTTGGTTATGGTCTTCATTTTGAACAGCTGTCCAAGAAGACCTTTGTGGTTTACTTTCTTTTTGGATTTGTTGGCTTTCTTTTAGATTTGGTTTGGAAACAATCTTGGTTTTGCAGAGCTGTCCGAACAGACCATCCCGCAGAGATCATCCTTAAGAGAGTGTAGCTTCTCGAGTGGCAAATCAGTGTAGAGCATGTTCGTCTTTATGAGAGTGCGGCACACGGAGTGGCAGCTGGTATGTCCGTCTTTTCTAAAAGTGTGGCATCTAGAGTGGTCGTACTTGCCACTCCAGGTGTCGCGCCCGCCGAGTTCTACAGAGTGACCTACTTTTGGTGGAAGGTAATTATCACTGTAAGTCCTAACATAAACCTATACTCGGACCCTGCTGAGACGTAGGTTATATAGCCTTCACCTTTAACGGCTGGAGTCGTGGAAGGTGTAGAGCTGACCGACATGCGCGAGTTGCTTAGACTTAGGCCGTCCTAGCATAGACCCTGAAAGCCTACACGGTTCTGAACCCTACAGCCTGAAAACCTTGAACCCTGGTAGGGTTTAGGGTTTAGGGTTTAGGGTTTGGGGTTTAGGGTTTAGGGTTTAGGGTTTAGGGTCCTAAAGCCTAAACCATAAACCCCAAATCAGAAGCCTCCCTTCGCAACCTTTAAAAGCTGTCTGGCTCAAAGCTTGGAGGCAACCGGGCTCAGATCTTCACTTTCAGTGCTTGCAGATATGGGAGTTTCCGAAAGTAAGGGGTACCTTATTTTGGGGTCCTTATAATAAGGATCCTATTATTTAGGGTGCTATATTAGGGTCCCCCATTTTCGGAAACTCCCATATCCGTTAGGATCGGTGGCAAATTTTTTTGGGGGGGGGACGGGACTGTGGGCATCGCCCTAGAAGCCCATGCATCCTTTAAAGTTAAATGTAAACAGTCTCACCCGAAAGTACAACTGTTGGAAACTCTTCAGTTGCAACGGATATATCACCTATGGGAGCTTCCGAAAATAAGGTACGTACCCCTTATTTTGAAGTCTTTATAATACGGGTCCTACTATTTAGGGTACTATACTAGGCTCCCCTATTATTCGGAAAGCCCCATATGAATTTTAAATACAAGGATCCTATGGGATTATTGCATAGAGTATGTGCCACAAGTCACCAGACGAATCACACAAACAAAAACTTGCTTACGATCAAGGCCTTCAAGACGAGGGGCTTATGACTCAAGGGGATTGAATTGCGCACCGTTTCTATTCCTGAAACCAGTATTCAACCCAAGCATCGTCTTCCACATCTCTTCGAGCTTGTTCACCTGCAAAGGGACAGGCGCATCCTTAACCCGAAAGCTTCGGCTGTACGTCCGCTTGGTTTTCTCCTTAGGCGGAAGAAATTTCCTGCCTTGAATCGACTTGACACAAATTGGTTACAACCCCGTTGTAACCAACTCTATTAAGTAAACAAGATTAATGGCTTCGGGCTCGGGAGAAGTTGAAATCTTAGAAAAAGCCAACCCTGCATCTGCTAAGCCCCGGAAGATGTCCAGGACCCTAGCAGTGCCTTGTTTAGGGTTTAGGGTTTAGGGTTAGGGGTTTAGGGTTTAGGGTTTAGGGTTTAGGGTTTAGCATGAATCTCAGAAGTCGTAAACAGACCCCCTGCACTTGCCCTCACGCCCCCATCCCGTCCAAGTATGGAACTTCTTTCGACTTTCTGAGAACTTCTGAGTCAAAGACCTACAACCCAGATGTATTCTACAGCCACGACCTTTTACCAAAACTTTCTCACACAAAGGTTTCGAGCATGCTGCCCCACATCTACCCGCCTGCGCCGCAGTGATGTTCCAGGAGCGCATTTGCTCCTGGCCCATGCTTCGGTTTTGCTTGGGGATCAATATAGGGGCCTTAGTAATTAGAACAGGGTTTTGGGGGCCATTATACTATAATGAAAATAAGGAACCCCCCCAAAACAGTATAGGTAATTATTTAGGCCCCTGCATTAATTAAAGTGTCTTAGATGTTACCTTGATAATCATCGAATTCCACATATGACGGGATCTACCACTGAAATAGGGTTTGGAGGCTGAGCCTGGTGTCCATGGCACTGGGTACATCATCCGGCAAAACGATATGATATGCCTGTGCAGCGCACCTCTCAAGTATGTCTATTTCGGAGTCTCAGAGAGTACGGGACCCTCAAACCAGACCTCAAAGCCAACCCACCCCCTTTGGAGGCGGGCTCCAAGTCACAGAAGCCCACACTTCGACACCTTAAGCTTGCAAGAATCCTCTGATCCCTACACATTCTGCCCGTACTCAGATTAAGACCCTGCAAACATATGGGCCATGGTAGAATGAGCTCAGTTCACATCGCACCTCAGTCGTTGAAACTTCTCTAGACTTTGCGGAATCTGTGACTTTCGTGTTTGTAGGGCGTGGAGCTTATGGCGTTTATGGCCATCGTCTGGGGCTACTCATACGGCCGACATCCTTGATGAATCACTAGGGGTTTAGAGGGTATTGTGGGCAAGCTATGATATACCAAGTTGAGACTATCACTATTTAATGCCGGGGCCTTAATAAACTAGAATAGCGTTTGGGGGGTTACTTCTTCTATTTATAGTATGATATACCCCCCCCAAACCCTATTCTAATTCCTAAGGCCGCTTGTTTACGTAGACCTCTAAGTCTCTGTCTCACCGGGGCCTTTGCATCGGGAACCTTCACCAGCCAAGGCAGGAAGCTCCGATCTTCGATGAGGGGCCTTCGGCTTCCAGCGGTTTAGGGTTTAGGGTTTAGGGTTCCGGGAGGATCCAAAAAATAGATCCCCTATAAGGGGGTTCCTATAAAGTACCCTTTAGTAGTTGGGGTCCCAAATTAGGGGATCTACTTTTTAGATCCTTCAGCTTCCAGCGATAAAAGGCATTTAGAGTTGTGGGTTTAAGGGTTTAAAGGCTTCAGGTTTAGGGAATTGAGGGTTTATGGTGTAGGGATTCAGCTTCCAGCGGTGAAAGGCATGAGGTCTCGGGAATTCAATCAGGAGGGTTTAGGGTTTTGAGTTGTGGGTTTAAGGGTTAGAGGCTTAAGGTTTAGGGAGTTTAGGGTTTAGGGATTAGGGGCTTAAGGGATTACGGTGCAGGGTTAACGCTACTAGTGGGGGCTTTCTGAAACAGGGCACCGTAATTTAATTTAAGGTTTCTAGAACTGCCGATCGGGAACCTATAGGGGTTTCTATAGGGGTACTATAAGGGCTCTATATGGGTAGTTCTCTAAATTAGGGTCCTTTTTTAGGGTTCCCAAAATAGTACGGCACCCTTATAAAAAGGACCCTAAAAGGGACTCTAATTTGGAGAACTACCCACATCCGTCGACACTTATACCAATAGATCACAGACCCCAAATTTAAAGCCTGGACGCCATAAACCAAGCAGCCGTAACCCCTAAACCCCGTAGCGTACCTCAAGAAGTGCTTAAATAACCATTGTATAGTCCGTATATACCCCTTGTATAGCCAGGTAGTCTCCATACTAACCCCAATAACCTAGAAGGCTCCCTATTAAGGGTCCTCCTAAAGCCCTTAGAAGAAGGAAGCAGCCCTCAACCCCAAACTTTGGAATCCCCCTGATTCAAGTCCAGGCAACTGCCACTGTGCAAGATCCCAATTCGAGTCCTCTCAGATTGGAACTTTCCGCGGCTGTCTCGTCGGATATTTTTGAAATTCTGGGGGCCCTCTACTTCGGTTCAGGTTTACTTTTTTAAGGGTCGAACGTACCTGTATTGCAGAATGTAGGGTCTCCATATTAGGAATTACTATTATATATGATTGAGGGAAGTATCGCCCGTAACAAGCACATGGGACCCGTTTGGGTGAGGTTTCAAGTGTTCCTGTAGGCTTTGATTAGTGGAATAGGCTAAGGGATCGAGGGACATAGTAAGTTGCTAGGTACCCTCACTGGGCTACACGGAAACATAGTCCTAGTTGCCGTACTAAGTATCACCCTACTAGTCCCAAAATCAACATCCGTACTAGGGAATGAAGCAGGCTTCCCTAGTTCAGGCGTGTTTACTTATGTTTGTGGTTGCTGAACCGGAGCTGCAAGCGCCAACCATGGTTGCGTGCCAGCTAGTTCCTTTGTCTAAGGTTTGGCGTTTAGTTTGCACGTTCCGAATACCTAAACAGTCGTGCTTTGCTGCAATTGTTGGCTTAGCTTCTCCCAAGGAATTCCTGTGTGAACTCGGTTCCAGAACACATTCAACACTGACAAGTAGTAGTATCTGCATGGTACAATGCACCGACAGCAGCCCATAACTAAACGACGGCTACATTGGAAGACAACTAAAACCAATTTTGGAAGATGTGGTACATGTGCAAAACAAACCAAATAGCCTAAAGAGGTGCACAAGCAAGCGAATACACGACAACAATTGTGGGAAGCCCGACGCCGCTAAACTTGCAGCAGCCAGTCCTTCAAAGCATTGTTGGACAGACAAATTCGGCAAAGCAAGACCACCACGGAATCGCTCTTTGCAGCGATGAAGCCTTAGTGCAGTCTAAGTCTAAGCTTGAGAGTTCATCGTAACACAGGGGCCTAAGCAACGAGAATATAGGGATTTCGGATATGTTAACGTGTATCTAAATAGGGATTTTCAGCGATCCTCGTCCAGACTACGTTTTGCCTGAAGCTTGTAATTTGGACCTGTGGTTCGCTGAAGGCTACTGATGTCGGGCTCCGTGGCTGCTTCTGAAATACCGAACTCCTGAATTAACAGGATTGTGGGCTAGTGGCACGCTCGGCAGCAACACCGAAGCTCAGAATACAGGGTGCTCGGCAGCTTTACTTGGCTTTGGCGGGTTTCAATCTACACCTACAGTAGGGATGCTAAGGAACAGCATTGCAACATATTGAGGCCCTCATATTCGCTGCTGGGGCTTCGCAAGAGTAAACAGATCTGTGGGCATGGACTATGTTCCGGTCACGACACCCAACAGAATCAAAAGCCTCAGGCTTCAAATAAAATGAATATATATATATATATATATAGATAGATATACATACATGCATGCATGCATGCATGCATACATACATACATACATACATACATACATACATACATACATAATTAGTTCACAGAAGACGACGCTCGACAAGAGGACTCTAGAACCTGAGGTTGCAAGATACCGCTTCCTCAAATTCGTCGAAGAGGTGCACAAAGAATCCAAATAAACCTCGAGAATCAACACTCAAAGTCGCCAAGTTGCTCACCCGGAGGGTGGGCTGTAGTCGCAGGGCTTCAGGTGTTTCGCGGGTCTTCGAGCTCGAAACACCCCTGACCATCTGAACCCCCGCGTCAAAAAATGCTGCGAAAGGCGCCCAAAAGGAAGACGTTGCGCTGGCCGCAGTTGTAGCACTCCAGGGTGATCTCGCCCAAGGTGCTCTCCGGATGCAAGGAGACCTGTCGGGGGTGGGTTGCGGTCTATAGGGATTTAGGGCTTAGGGGCTGAGGGTTCAGGGTTTAGGACTAAGGGTTTAGGGATGTAGGATCTATATGACTTGGTTAATCTAAGATTTGGGGTTTAGGGTTAGTGTCCTGGATTTATGAGGTCCAGGGGATAGACTTCTAGGTTGTAGGGTTCCGGGCTACCGGGGTTTAGGGTTCAGGGTTCGGGGCATAGGAAGCCAATAGAGCTCACTGACAAACCCGATGTAGTCTGAGTTCCCTTCCATTCAAGAAAGGGTCTTTGGCTCTGGGGCGTATTGGGTTGACGGCGTTGGAAGGAGGGCTTGAAGTTCAATCTACAGCCTCCATTGTAGTTCCTTTTTTTGGTTTAACCAAATATACATTAAGGATTTTATAAGGTATCCCCAAAAAGGAACTACAACGGAGACTATAGGAAGTGCTTGGGTTTTCAAGGTTTGAGGGTGTCCGGGTTGAAGTCTATCAAGGCACAGTGTGAGGTAGGGGATTCGGCGTTTAGGGCCGATTAGGGCTCACCATGAGGCTCCAAGTATTGCTGCGCTTGACGCAGTCAGAGAGGGCACAACCTACCCCGGACACACTCAACACCCTAAACCCCTTTTGGAGCGACACGAACTTGCTGTCGTCAGAGCTCAGCCTCACCACCCCGCAGGACCGAAAAAGAATTGCCCAGGCCTTGTGACCTCCAATTGCACGGAAGTTTATGTAGGGGCCTAAAGAATTACCAATACTATTCCTTAATGGTTCCTTACCATGTTTATAGTAGTATTGGGCCCAAAACCCTTATTAAGGCCCCAAAACCTTCCTCCGGCCAGTCTAAGGCATCTGTTTAGGCACAGAGTCCGCTGATTTGGGTGCACAAGGCAGAGGCCCGCACTCCTTCTCTTTTCCCCTTTCCTCGACATCAGGGCGATTGGAGCCCATAATTCGGAAAGGCTCAGGAGTAGGTCCAAGCATCGCACTTATAGCACCTTGAGTTGGTCGATGTTTGGCATGTTCTGCGCTGAGGGCTGAGGGGTCGGTGGGATTTGGGCACCGGTCCTGCGAACCCAGAATGCCAATGCCATACACAGGATCCTTAAACCCTAATCCCTAAACTAAGGCAACGCTGCGCTAGGGTTTAGGCAGAATCCCTAAACCCTAAACCGTAAACTAAGACAACACCGCGCTAGGATTTAGGAACCTCAGGGTTTAGACCGAAGCACCTATCTTCTTGCAAGGCCTCCAAGGGCAGGAGGGCCTTGGATGCCCACTCCAATCGCTTCCGCATTAATGCTAGGATGCCCAGTTACCTAGGATTGAAAAGGGCTCCCTTGTTGGGTATTGAACACCTTTATAAGGAACCTAACTCAACAACGCCACATAATTCCAGCACTTCAACCTCCCATGCCAAATGAGGGTTTCAGAAAATAGGGGACCCTAATATAGTACCCTAAATAGTAGGATCCTCATTAGACCCCCAAATAGGGTACCCTAATTTCCGGAAACTCCCAAATAACACCAGCATGGCAAAGCTCAACAGCAACACCTGGTCGCGCCTCCTTCTGCTTGGCACGGACCAGGTGAAGAATGATGCAGCTACCTGCGTTGTGCTTCTACTCAAGGAATCAGTGGACATAAAGCTTACAAGCAAGGCAACTGCAGTCCAATCATAGCACGAGAAAGCCTAGGCCCCACAAGCAGAAACCCTAGTACCCAAAAGTAGCCTAACCCTAAACCCTAAACCCTAAAACCCTAAAGGGCCTAAACCCTAAACCCTAAAACCCTAAAGGGCCTAAACCCTAAACCCTAAAACCCTAAAGGGCCTAAACCCTAAACCCTCACTGTTTGCGAAGTCCCCATTTCGGGCTTCAGGGAGCCTCTACCCGGCTACCACCTTCCGGCGCCGTGGCTTCGGAATCCGAAACAGACCCCAAAGGCTCCACCATGGTAGTGTAGGAGTGTAGGGTTTAGGGTTTAGGGTTTAGGGTTCAGGGTTTAGGGGCCTTATATAATTGGAATAAGGTCTTGGGGCCCAGTATACTATATTTGTAATTTAGAGACCCCCCCCCCCTCCTCCCCCTCCCCCCCAAAAACTAGTATTGGCATAGTTTTGGGGCGGCTTAATTTCAGAGTCGTAGTAGATGTGGAGCCTCTTGGAGATACACAAAAACGCTCTGCAGCAGGAGCCCAGGGTTTAGGGTTTAGGGT